TTTAAAAAACGTCTTTTTACTTTCCTTTTCTATTTATTAAACGTACAAATGTACAGTAAACTTTAAGGAAGGGAGCTGCGGTCATACAAAGGCTGCCACTGAAAAATACAGAAGACGGGCGACGGTGGAGCGGTTTGAACCCGGGACACCCAGGTCATTAGTTGGTGACTTAACCAACTGGCCACAACCGCCAAAAGTGAAATACCTGAGAATACACTTTATTTTTGGATACATCTTGCACGAAACTTAGAACGACAGATCGCGATAAGAAAGCTTTGCGGAACAGATGTGTATAATGTACGCACTCGGATGCAGTGGACACTGCATGCGCCCCGCTCGGCATCAATCAATATTACTCGGTATATAATTTGCAACTCGGTAGGGACTGATAGTACATTGCCAAAAACGACCAAGCTGACCTCGAGTCAGGTTAACCCGAGAGTGCACTTAATTCTTGACCTGAAAGCAAGAATTGACCAAATAGGCAAGCTTAGTGGAATCGGATCACGCGAACCGTCTGTAACATAATAGAATAGGAGACGCGTTATGCAGCATCGTTCGTACTCATACGGCCTCGCGTTCCAAGCCGGTTTCGTTTTGTGACCAGCATGCGTTGTAAGATATGTAAGGGTAGATTCTGCCCGTTCTAATTTATTAGGCATACAGAACGTTCACCAGGGGCTGTATATCCTGTAGTACTGAAAATAACAAAATATATGTTACGGTACATTTTTTCATTACACACTGACTTGGAAAGCCCCATAGTCACGAGGACCTGCCGTTCAGTGATGGAAACCGGCAACCTAAGCCCTGGGACTTGGAGTTGCGAACCACATAAGGCCCCGATAGACTAGGTGTGGTATTGAACCGGACAACAGCAAAGGTGTCTACCACCAAAGTTGGGTGGCGGGGCTCGAACCCCGGACCACAGAATCCAAAGCACGCCTGTGACAGCGACTAAACCACTGCGCCACCACCACTCGTCTTCGCGCGGACGTTTTACCGGACTTCGTAAGTACTCACGATCACCGCAAATCACATGCATGTGGGATTGATCAGTGTATAGGCGAGGATTAACAACTTGTGCTGGTTCAGTGTTCGAAGTGAACCTTAACGGAGGCGCGCAACCCTCAGGAGGATAGAACACGTATCAAAAAGTAGACTGGTGATCAAATGACTAATGATGCGGACTGGCAACTTGAAAAAAACAATGAGTATCGCGCACCACATGTGCAGTTTACAGCGAAAGCGATCACTATATAGGTCAATGGTGTTGGATCAACTGACTAACAAAGTGTCTCACAGTTGTTTCCATGGGGTCAGAAGCCGTCACCAAACCATACGCTGCACTGCTTTCTTGCTTCAATAGATTAGAGTAGCTCGATTTCGAAGGACTTAAATAGTTGTTTCTGCTACATTCCCAGATAGCCCAGAGAGGAAGAACAAAGACTGTCTGTCTGACTGTCAGATTTGTGTATTTCAAACAGAACAACAGGGTGGCGAAAAAGCTCGTTTGCAGAGGTTCGTATTCATATCAATACATTTTAATATATATCACTAGTTGGGAATAATAATGCAGTAATGTATGTAATGTAATAATAAAGTGGAGCTCGGTCGCCCCTTGGATGACCTAAAACATCTACTTTATTTCTGCACGTATAATGTTCAGTTCACGTTTAACGATCAAATATATCGACAAAAGGATGGCGTGACCATGGGGTCTCCGCTGGGACCGCTTTTCATGGACTCATGCATGGCAAAACTTGAAAACATTCAATAATAGTCATCTATCGAAGACTGCGAACTGTGCATGCGGTACGTAGATAATATTTATTGTGTGATCAATGCAACATCGAACACAACAGAATTATTAAACAGGTTCAACATCGCTCATTTACTTTAGGAATGGAGTGTAACAACGAACTGCCGTTTCTAGATGTCTGCATCACCTATCAATCAGATGGTTTGATGCAGTGTTCCGAGCATAGAAAGGCAACTTGGAAAGACCAGTACATTCATTTCCGAAGGTTTATGCCAAAAAAGGAACGTGGTTCGTTGCTTAGCGGATAGGGCAAAAACGATCTGCAGTGTGGACACACTAGAAGAACTCCGTATTGTTAAATCGACCTTTGCAGGTAACAGGTATCCGGAGCATTTGATCAACAAAATGATCCAGTGCACGGGAAACTCTTTGCAAAACACCGAGGTTAATAAAACAATCCGTGAACATGACCTGAAGTGACTGTATAAAGCGCCTATTACGAGGAGGATATCTAGATATTGGTAGCCGCTCATTTCGTTGCGTAACCAAACACAAGATTTGCGGTTACGTGTGTTGAAATATCGTCCAATCATGGGCACGTGTGATCATCAGTAATGATCTCATCTCGCTCACCTGGATTGTGCTCTCTTCGAGACTGACTGTCTGTCTGATCTACTGTCCTCCTCCAACTCGCACACACTTCGTCGCCAACATCGAAATCGCATTTAGTTTATGGCTTCCGAACTCATANTGGTGCCATATAACTATCGTATGTGACCAGTTCTGGGGACATCATTTCTATCCATTTCCGAATTGTGCAAAACGTACAAACACCGAAAACCTAACGACCGCCACAATACTAAAAAACTGGGTTTCCCACAAGCACGTAAAGTCAAGAAAAAAATACTATTCCATGCTGCGTAGTTGGATAGAAACCGTGGAGATAGAAAAATAATGAGCACAGACTGATACCACCTAACTCCGTTGTTCGTACCTTAGTCCGATTGTGAACTGTGGCCGGAAGCCCCACAGTTTGATGCTGATTTCGACCAACTGACACACACAACCAATTCGGAAAAAGATGTCCAAGGTGTGACGTTCCGAGACAGCTTATCCGGTAAGTAATAATAAAATGATCGCCGGATAAACCAACGATTACAAGTTAAAGAGTGAGTATATTTACGGGCCGATACGTTTTCACTTGAACATCACAAATTCCGTGACCTACGAGTGGGTACTCGATTTCCAGCTGACAAACGCTTAATAATTCATTGTATGATGCAACTGGATGTATAAAATAGTGAAAAATAACCGCCAATTTCATTTTGTGATTGAGATGAAAGGAGTATCGACTCCAACTAGGAACACATTTCCAGTTGAGCCATCATTTTCCAAACGATAACGTGATGAAAGAAAGGATAATCCGCCCGGACAATTCTCGATATTGGTTGTATGCGACTTTCTCATTTGCGATTGGATTCAATCATGATCTTGCTTCGATACGATCAATTTTCACCCTCTTGGTTTATGTCTTGATGGAGACATTATGCTGATGCCATAGCCTTTTGAATGTTTCATCCTGTATGAATATGGTGACACTATAATACGGTTATTCAATAAGCCGCACATCTGAAGGTCAACGCTCACGTTTCTTGGAATATATTTTTAGTTCTTTCAGTATAAGGAATAATGCGTGAATAGTTTGTAGCCAATTTATTTATGCTAGTAAACTTTCAATAACTGGTTCATTTACTACGCACTGAATGAAAACATATAAGCAATTTATAATGTCTTGAATTTTATAAACACTCAGGAAACAGGAATCGTTTATTAGAAAGAATGAACCTTCATGCTGCTTGGCAGAAGACATTTTCTAAATTTGAGCTTACCGTTCGAACTACTACGAATTGTATCTCAACAATCAAGGTCGCACAAACTCAAACGGTAACAGAACAGTAGTGAGAACATAGAGGTCGTAGATAAAGTCAGGAATAAATACGCTACACCCGTAACTATCGATATACATATATAATATTGGAAACTGAAATGTATTTCCAAAATGAGAGCTATGTTGCACAAGTTTGATCAACATCTGCACAGATATGGATGCTTGTCACCTGGTCTATTCGACTGAGGGCAATGCACTCAAAGAAAAAGATGACCATATCCATGTATGATACTGAAATTGTGAAAAGTTCGGTAGTCCCAATGGAAATCCGAATGCACTCATGGACAAGGTCTACACTTTTGATCAACACACCCTCTAACACCTGAGCTACCACAAGATTGCACCAACAGCACTGATCTCATCCATTTCAAAACACCCAGCCAACTTAAAGGCAAAAGACAAATTCACCAGGTACCATATGAGTCGATTGTCGTGAGAGGTTTTCCCTGTTATTCACTTTGCGATATACACGAGTGTAAGCAGCGTCCCACCAGAACATGACACTTCTGGCCGCCAAAAAATTGTAGGGGGAATAATCAAACCGGCTTGAAAAAAGTAGCCCTTCCTCCCTCCAAACAAAAGGAAGCTCTGAATTTCCCAGACCTGAAACCCCGTTATTCCCTGTATTTGTTTTCTTTCTATGCACGTAACATATCACGGAAAAAGATAGAAAATCCCAGGTAATATTAGTTACATATATGTCCATGTATTTATTATTTTTTTATACGGTTGTATGTACGCGTGTATGTAATGTGTTTGTCTGGGTATAGTAAGATCTGCAGTATTATGCTGCGAGACATCAGTCGAGATTAGTGAATAGCACGTTCAACAAATGGCAAATAAGGTCGAACACCCCACGCACGCACGCACCCCCCTCCCCTCCCCCCGTCAAGGCAATGAGTGCTCAATCGTGCAGACAGGGAGGCAGGTGGTAGATGAGCGGGCAGGCTAGTGGAACCGGGCAGGGGATGGGACAAGGCAGGTCTGACTGAATGGGCATAACAGGAACAAGACGGTTTGTGTGTGGACGAACACAACGCGAACGAGCGTAAACAGAGGGAAAAGGCTCACGGGGGAGTAATGGCAAGGATGGGACGTCCAGAGACGGACGGATGGACGGGTCTAATTTAAAAAGGTGGACGCCTTGTCCCATTGGAGAGAGGGCGAGAGAGAGAGAGAAAGAGGTTCACCAAAGCAAATTGTGCCCATCATACCAGCGAAATGGGTTCCACAAGCCTCCTTGTGGGGTATTTTCGAGGTGATCACAAAGATTTTCCAATCCCGTTATATCTAATTGCTTACAGCCACGGCGGCAGAGCCCATGTCTCCGTCCACTGCGGACTCTTTACATGACGGACGGGCTTCTTCAATGGTTCGACTGAGCAGATTCCAATCGTTCGCACGAGAGGCTACCATGACCTGATTTCGGGAGAGAGAAACACGCGACAGGAGTGAATTGGAAAGAATGAATTGACGAACAAAATTAAACGACAGGTTTGTAACTGATACCCACGGTGAGGGTGTTGTAAGTGTATTTGGGGGACGGGGGTTAGAACTACAACACCGATTTGGGGGACGGTGGTCAGATGTCTGTGAGTACAATCGGGGGAGTTAGTTAGGAATTATTAGGACACAGTCGGCATCTCGTGATATTATTGTGAAGGTCACAACTCACCTCGTTTAGGTCGTACAAATGGATTTTGCCACCCATATCTCCGACGGCCACATGAGATCCAGACGAGTGGAACCGACACGTATTCAGACCGGAACTACCGTCAATTTGTGCACGAGCACACGGAACCTGATGAGAATTCAATGGATTGGTGGTAGATAAATCGTTCCACTCGACTACACCTGATCGCACAATTAATGAGTAACAGATGTGATCGAATCACAGAAAACATCTGCTATTGAAATGAGAATCATGAAGCAATAATAATATGGTCGGGAAACGCAGTGGAGCGAAAGTCCCCAATCATAGCTATCCCGAAGAGGAACTGAACGAGAGCATGCATTTTAAAGACCAAATTGACTAACCTGAAGGACAAGTGGACACAGTCTTGTATTGCATACTGGTACTGTTTACTTTATAATAAAAATGGCTAATAGATTGTCCCTACCTTGGGTTCCGTCCGATTCTTTAAATCACCGTCTGAAAGAAGACACGCGTTCTCCATGATTTTCCCTCATAACTATTCATACGACATAGCCACGTCATTGACCAACATCCATAACGTCTCCACCAAAACAAACTAAAGCTATACAGTTCACTTTCCACGAGGGGTGTTATAGACAATCATGAAACGTACGAAAATGGAGAAGTGGGGTTGCAGTATTATAGGTCAGACGAATGGAGCAGATATTGCTGCGTTCCCGTTGTGTATGGCAGGTGATTGGACAGAAAAATTCCGACCATCCGACAATCGGAGTGTCATACGGTTACAGCAAGTACTTGGCGGTCTAACTACAACATATGTCAAAGAATCTCCTACATGCAATCAACTGGATTTAGTGTAGGCCTATAATAAAGCACTATCAGAACAGTGATGGATGGCTCTTGATCGAACAAGCTTAATTGCATGACCCCGTGAAAAATTGAACATTATTAGCATCAAACTATGGAGAATCGAGCGTCGCCGATCCCTGACACACCCACTCTGATTAGGGACCAACAAAGAGTGTGTAACCGACCGGTTACAGGGGCCTCTGAAACACAATCCGTGACGCTATCCATGCGTTGCCCCATATCACGTGTGGACCATCAATTGGTTTCCGTTCACCTGGAATGAATGACAATAGCAAATGTGGGACGGGGGCGTGTTGCAGAATGCAAATGTTCCAAGCGCGTCCTCAACCGGGAAGTTTATTCAATGCCAAATTCACAGTATGGAAAACATTCAACCAAACACTTCTGCAATAGACGAAGGTTTACCTCGGTGTGGCTAACCTGCTAGCCCAAATCAAGCAGCGTCAAATAAGGAAAACATTAATAGTGACTACCAACAGTACGTTCTAGGTTGTTGAATAGACAATGACAACTGTCAATGCATGTGGATATTTGAATTGACAAATCCATTTAGACATGTTCAATTCATAACTCCTGGAGACCGATCACCATTATACCCATTCCAAAATAATCTTCATCTACCATTTTATCTAAACACTTTCGTCCAATCGCCATCAATTTCTTTGAACTTAAATTAGTACGATGTGCTATTCTCACCCGCTTCCCAATGATCCTCTTCAGTTTTTGCATAAGCCAAATAAATGCGCCTTAGGCGGTGTCTGTTCAATGATACACTTTATCTGTAAATCCTTAGGTGATTCCCAAAAATCCGTGTTCGTTGTGTTTTTTCTTTGAATATTTTTCCGATTTTCATTCCGCTCCAGGATCTTTTATTCTCCGAAAGTTAGAATCATTCGGTTGTCCACCAACTTATTATTGTGATTGAAAGACTAGTTCACAGGAAGGACTCATGGGGCGAAAGCAAACGGCACTATTTCAAAACCGTTAGTTATTATTCTGAAATCCTTCAGGGTGCTATGCTTTTTCTGTACTTCTATCTTCAACTTTCATCAATGATCTACCCTCAATCCCGCCAGCCAAGACCTTTACATATGCTGGTGATGTGATCTTATGTCAAGCTATTTCAAACCAATCTGACAGAATCAGTTTCTGACAGTTAATTACAAGTGTAATCAGTCTCGAAACAATCCGGTCCTCAGTTGAATGCTTCCGAATGCTGTGAATGTATTTTTGGTTTTTTTCAGATCCGAATATCCCTTGGAACCCTTAGTCATCATTTCCGTACCCACCAACAGAACACATACCACGAAATACCTAGGAGTCACCATAGATAGCAACCTACAGTGTTCCTCTCATGTGCTGGTCTGCGTGTTGGTACGTCGTTTATCCTTCAAAATAAGCAAACTACGACGATTTCGAGTGAAACATGAAATTACATATATGTTCCTTTGTTTATCAATGTATTTTTCTGTCATACTTTATTGTTCGCCCATTACTTTTCCTGGATTAATTCAAAAGGATTTCATTACTCTTCGTTGCGGTTTAGTAATTATCAGTATAGTTTCGTTATTCTTTTAAACAATAATCACAAAATGATGTTTTTCAAATTACTTAAAGTAAGAATTTCGTCCATAAGGTACTCAACGACACCAGTCATCCGCTCAATCTCGATCTATCTGCTTACCGTTCCCACNTATCGCAACCCAACGGTTTCTTATCTGCCTTGTATCCTCACTGACAAAATGAAGATCCGAAACGAATTAATTTTAAACCTACAAGATGAACTCGTTTTAGTTTTATCATTGTTGTATATAAATTTTCATTTCATTTTTTAACCCATGGTAAGAGTGAACATTTTTTTTANTTTTTACTGAAATGTGGACACAGTTGCCTGCACATGTCATTACAAAACAATAGGAAATTCCTCGGGGAAACGGGGCGATCAGATGGTGTAGGTTACAATTACATCAAGTCGGTGATCGTGAGGTCGAATCCTGAAAATGTTAGCCGAATTTCCTACTTATGCATGACCGCAACAGAGCTTTGCCTGACCGCACACCCATAATTAAAAGATGCGAGACTCAATTACGATCAAGGAATACAAAGATTATTACCATTCTTATGAGGGCTACGTTCAACAGTTTTCGTGGTACCTTACTCAAGCTCTAACTTTTAAAATGTAATCGTATCTGTGAGGATCGCTTTTGTCATTTTCATTTTATCGGGCCTGTTCAATGACACAACTCCCAAGCATTCGCGCGACGGGAAGGCAGTGGCTGCTTGTATTATCAGGTTTAGCTCATGGAACGATATGCTTCCAGTTATTGGCTGATTTTTGGTTGCAAGAACACTTACTACCTGAAGGTCAGTGGACTACTACTGGTACAGAGAAATTGAGAAGCACGAACGCTACTGTTTACGACACTCAGCCATATCACTCAGTATATAATCATCGGGTACGACCAGCACGAGGTCCCCATCCAGGGAGCCTAACGGGACCTATGTGACCAAGACTCCTGGTTAGGGTTTTCAAACCCACATACCAGATCTTAGCTTGACCACCCTGGTCTTTAGTTCAACCACAACCTGCCTCGGCAAACATCGCCGGCCGTGGTAACTTATTTGGTAACATGCGTAACACATGTCAAACCAACGAAACCTGAGGAGGTCGACCACATGCTCCAGTGGCCGACCGCGGTTGCCTAAAATTTTCCGCCTGACCTCAGCATTGCTCGTCTGGTTGTCCCACCAGATTCGTGCAAGGCTGCGTAGACAGCGATGTTCAAACACCGACAGTCTGTCTTTGTCCTGTTTTCTCAATGGCCTAGTTTCTGCTCCATATAGCAGAACTGGCCGAACTGTTGCGGCATTCACTCGACCACTTCACAGATAGCCGGATGTCGCGACGGCGCCACAGATGTTTCAAGTTGGCAAACGCCTACCGAGCCTTCTGTATGCGAGCGGACACTTCATCCGTAATGCGTCCACCGGGTGAGATGTAGTTGCCTAAGTAACAAAAATTATCCACCTGCTCTTTTACCTCCCCAGTTAGAGTGAGGCAGGGTACTGGACCATCCCAGTCTTGTAGTAACATTTTACACTTTGAAGGTGCAAAAGCGCATACCGAACATGGCTATACTAGCACTCAAACCTTCCAGAAAACCTTGCAACTTACCTGAACCAGTAGCACAATGTCGTCTGCATTATCTAGATCAGACAGCCTGCCACCTGGAAGTAAATCGATGTCACTGTCCTCACACGAGAATAGGGATGTTTCCATGAACATATCTATAACAAAGATAAATTGAAAAAGGGAACGAGGGCAACCCTGTCGAACACCACTTTACGTGGTGAATTCGGGCCAAACCGTGCCGTAAGCTCGGACTCGGATTCAGCTATGAGTGGACGGTGATAGTTCAGATGTCGATGGGGGTCAGTTGAACTGAGCCTCGAAATGTTCAACCCATCAATCAAGTCGGCGTTGCTGATCGTGAATCAGTGTGTCATCGGATTCCCTAATTACCTCACGTTTATTTTCCTAGGACCCGTATTCCTAATTAGACGGAAAAGATTGCGACTATTACCAATAGCCACAGCCTTCCCCATCTCTTCACACTTTCCTATCCACCACTTCTCTCGGTCATTCCCCAGATCCTTAATGAGCTGGCATTTGAGTGATTTGCGCGCTGCGTCATGTGTGGTATCAGGAGGAAGGGTTCTGCGGGCGTCCAGCAGGGCAGCCAAGGTCGATGAGTTCCATCGTTCATGTTTTGAGCCTGCGTGAGGGTTTGACGTTTTCATTGATATTTGCATAGCTTCCTTGATTTGCTTCCAGTGTTCATTGAGTCCTTCGGCTGATGATTGATCTACCAGACGATCGAAGCGTTTCGCCTCGAAGGATGATTAGCAACAAGCTCCTTATAGAATTCATCCTTGATTTCAGGTGTATTGCAATGGGTCATTGCGTACACCGACACGATGACTAAGCATGAATGCTTCGTTCTATAGCTGTTGGCCCGCGCTTAACCGTTGGGACGTACGGCGCACTGTCGGCTACTGACTGGAATCCAGTCGAGAAGCGAACCTTGGCACTTAGCGCAATCCAGGCACCAGCAACACCGTGAGCTTCGGACGCCGAATCGCCTGACACACGAAAGTTGGATCAAGAGAACGCAGGGAGATAATGGAAGTGGGGTCTTGTATGCGTGTTTCGGAGACAACATATTTCTGAATTGAAGGTTTGGTGGGTTCTAGCTAAGGCAACCGTTTGACCGATCTGATAGTGTGCGGACATTGAACGCGGCTAAGTGAAAAGGGAATTCCGGCTTCAGAAAACCTGTACCTTCTGTTTTTTTGGACTTGCTGGTAAAACGCTGAGTAATATCCGATGGGTCTGGTAAATAGCAGGCGTTTGGGATTATTCGGAATTGAGAAAAGAACTAGACAGATGGGAGGGAGGGTTTTCCAAATGGGTACCTAAGACTTTCGAGCACGACACACTTCGCAGTAGCCCACACAGGGGACCCTAACCGGAGCCTTTGACT